GCCCCGCTCCCCTCCCTCATCCTCATCTGGCGAAAACCCAGCTCCGGCGGCAGGGCGTTACCTCCCTCGTTAGCCAGGGATTCGGCTTTGGCCAGGTTAGTCTTTTGCTAGATGCGGTGAGAGAGACCGGCTCAGCAGAGGGGGTGGATGGCACCGCGGCGTACCCAGCGTACGCTGTTGGGAGGGACGCCTCCCGCCTTTCATCCCGCTAATGGCATGCACGGCGTTCGTCTGCTGCCCGCGCTTGCTACGCAATGCCACAACAAAAAACCTTGTTTTACGCAGGACACGTCACTGCTGTATGCCAGTGCTCCCCTGGAAAGACACATTTCTAGTCATCGCCCCTGCTGATTTCATGACGTCCAGTGTCATTCCTTCCCACCTGCCAGGTTCGGGAAGTATTTGGGTTTTTTTCCTGAGATACATACATAGATTCCACACGCCTCCTTTCATCATAATGCAACCCTCTGCATTCAGGTTATAGCAGGAAAATTCATGAAAGAAGGAATTACCAGGTGCACCTTCAGGAGAATTTAAGCCCTCTTTGTATTCACATGTTCTCAGCTAAAACACTGTACTCCACCCATACAAAGTTTTAACTGGTAAACATAACTTTAAAATGAAAACCATAAGTCTTACATAAAATCAATTGTATTTTTATTCAGCTCTTCAGAGATTTTTAAGATTAACTGTGTATTCATTAAGCCTTTTCCTTAAAGGCTATCCAAACAATACTGTCCATTTTAAAATAAGTAAGCCATCTAGGTTAAAAAAAACCAACCACAAATAACAAATCCTGTGGTATATCTTTGGAAAAAAATGTCTTGTAATGCATGTAAGAGCTTGAATATTTATATCTCGACTCCTTAAATATCTCAACTTTGTCAGTTATGTCTTACTGAGGTTTGGCCTGACTGGAATGGTATATAGCTGCAGTCTGCTGTGTTTCAACAAAATAAAAATACTCGTACTGAAGAGATCACATCATAACCTGCTATTTTGGTTTCAAGTTATGGCAAGCCTCATGGCAAACAACTGCATTCGTATCATGGATTCAAAATACATCCTGCTTGGACAAAATGCTTTTTTTGGGTTAGCAAACGACGTTAACCTAAAAAAACCAACTGATTTTGCCAATATTTTCTGGAATGCTATAATTACAGAAATCATACAACTATGGAAATAAATAATACAGCCACAGCCCATGTTTTCAGAAACACCTGTTCAGCTGCAGCACATACGGAAACTTGGGCTATACATGTATACATACATACGGGGTATTTATACTGACACTTTGCACCCACATATAGATTGTCTTACTGTAATGACATTACATTTATATAACATACTTCAGTTTATTAACATTGCATACCCACAAGCCAGTGATGTGGAAAAGCATACACAGAGCTGAAAAAGCAACGCTAAATCACTAATTCAAGAAAATTCTTTTAAGTATTTTAGCTCATCACATTACTTGGTTCATTTTTTTCTTAGAAAAGTGCTGTAAAAAGACTGATTCTAAACCCTACCCTTATGTTTAAGAAACGTATCAAGATTGGGTGGGGGGCAACGTATTTCTTTTTACTGCAGAGATCTTCTCCAGAAACAGCCCTATATGTGCATGTGGTTCTTTGGATGATGACCTGAAGCTATCACGAAGACGAATGCCTATTTTTATACGCTATTATTTTCATGTTCAGTGATTTATTCAAGACAAATAAGATATCACACGACTGTGCAGGGAGAGGTCATGGTTTCTCCTTCTACTGTCACTAAGAAGAATATGTCATACGGATTTTTAACAAGTTGGTTCTCTAACACAGCCTTTAAGAAGCTTACAAACTTTGGAGGCATGCCAGATTACTTTGAGAATTTAAATGTGGAAAAAAAAATGCTTGTTTTAAGGAATTTAAGCCAGGCACTATTATTAACACAAATCATAATTTTATTTGGTAATTACTACTAGGTTTTCTAAGAGGCACTTCTGTGGATAGAGCACTACCATTAAAAGATGTAAGAGTATTATCCATTTTTGACCGTTAGTTTGTCGTACTGTTATATTGGCACAAGAAGTAAGATGAATAAAAGCAAAGTTCCACTGAAATGAAAACTTCCAATCAATTCAAAGTAGGTTTCTGTAAAGAACAACTCCACTGCATAAGCAATTAGGAGACTAAAGCTCTTATTACATGAGATACTATTGGCAACTGACCTGTTTTTCTTGTATAAAACCATCTGCAACTACATGTATCTCTTATCTAAGTTTCTCAAAGCCTTTACGATGTTAACTTCACACATCTTTACAATAAATATTTTTATTCCAAACAGGAGAAGAGCTGTAAGAATTCAATTACTGTCAGTGGCAAGACCACAACTCCAAAATCCTACCCTCTCTTCTGCAACTATTTCAAGGCCCACATCCCTTGTATCTGTGCCACATCATGTAAACTTTCCAGAAGTAAATGGTACAAAATGCTTATTTGTAAAGGCTGCTGTGTAGTGAGGAGGTGCATGTCAGATGACACCACCCAGCCCTGTAAGAATCTTCCAAAGGTTAAAAAAATCCCGCAGAGACCATTTCAAGCTTCCAAATAACTTTCCCGCGGAAGTACTGGAAAATATTTTAGACTCAATCACTGATCAGCTCCTTGATTTTTTATTAATTTTCAGACTTGTCAACAAATCTGTCTGAAACTCAGGAACTCAATTTAATCCTATTCAGATAAGGAGGGTCATGCCACTTAAGATCTCTTTGGGAAAGAGAGACGAATCCAGTCTCACTGTCAAATTTTTAGTCTATACAATCCAAAACAACAGGTAATGAAAAACAGAGAAATCACCCTTATTAATAGGTAGTACAGATAATTGCATAGTAAATGTTGTATATGTAATGACTGAGCTGTGCTCAAGCATTACTGTCCTTAAACCCAAACAGTTTGGACTTTTCTAAGTGCATGTTATTGAAAAAAACCCAAACAAAAAAACCCAACACCAACAATACAACATATATGCTAGTTCTCAAATGATGCTGTCAAATCCGTTCTCGACTCCTTGTCCCTCTCCAAAGTACGGCTTGCAGCCACATTCATAACCATTTCCTGGCTGGCTGGCTCTAAGCGCAGTTTGGTGCATTCACCACGCAACCTGTAGCTACGCTGAGACTCTAACCATGGTTGTGCTTCCAGTACTTGTACC